CAGATTGGAGAACCGAAGTTTTTCGGATGTGAGAACCGAAGTTGTTCGGATGTGAAAACCGAAGTGCTTCAGATGTAAGAACTGAAGTTTCAGATGTGTGATCCGAATCTCGACAGCTAAACCTAAAGTGTTCAAATGCTCAATCCGAAAACTTCAGAGATTCATATGACCTAAACTTTGGGTCTCACGCATGAAGTTTTTTTCTCCGTGCACAGCGCCAGAATGGTATCGCTTCTTTCCCGTGCTTTTAGATACGAGCACTCCGTCTTTAGGTCTTTGGTTCGGGCACAAAAGTAGTACCGAACCTCTATATAAAATTCGCTTGAAGAAATACTGGAGCACCGCGCCACCGGTGGTACCCGAGGTCAAGAGCCTTGACACTGTCCGATTGGCCGGCCGGGCGGGAGCATGGGGGTCTGCACGGAAGGAGCTGTCCGGCGTCCGAATTGAGAAATCAATTGGCCACGACTCGTTAGTTCCGAAAAAATATGCTCCTCACTCGATACTCGCGCACAGCAGATGCGGAATTATCGCCGCGCACCGATACTGCCGTGCTGGGTAAAAACGCTTTATGAATCTTCAGACATTGCCAAAGGTCCCTCGACAAATCACGAATTTCCTCGTAAACTTATGAATACTTTTTTTCTTTCGATTTTTCAGAGTATTTTGTTTGCAATTTCATCTAGAGTTAATGGAAATATCAAGGAAACAGGGTTGCCACAGAATTTAGAAAATAAAATTCCCTGACGTTTCCTTGATTTCTATGTCAAATTTTGGTAAAATTCCCTGACAATCGAGGATATGCCAGACTTGCCAGATGCTTAAAAATACATAATTTGAAAAAGTTTTCAGGGCAAATTTGTTATCCAAGGCGTCAAATCCATTTTAGAAGGGAAATAAATGTGACTTGACCATTTTTCCCTGAAATGTTCGTCATTTTTCATGACATTTCCAGGCTATCCCTAAATTTTTAAAATTCCCTGACGTTTCCCGGCTTTCCCGGTATTTCCTGACTGCGGCAGCCCTGAGGATAACCATTCATGACTTTCCTCAAAAATAAACATTTTATCTAAGGAGATTTGGCAACTTTCGAATCTTCATACGGCGTTCTTCCTCAGAATACTTCTAAACACTGACCCTCATCGCTCCTCACAATTTCCTCCGGATAACGGACCGCGATTCGAGTATAATATCGTGTTCGAACACTGGTACACGAAGAGTCATAAGTTTATGCCCTGGAGCATTCTTGCTTTACTTTTGCTTGACGAGGAGATTCAAGAAGATGTCATTTAACTCATGAGCCCTGTCCACGACGCCGTTGTAGCATGCCTCCGGCTCATAAGGTAACATATTTTGGCCTTCAGTTCGTTTTCATTTGATGTCAAAACCTACTTATACATTTTGCTGAAAGAAATCACACCCACTTTTACATTGTTTCTTGTGCAGCTTTCTAGAGCACACCCCATCTTTCCAACCCGCGCCTACCTAGATCCTAGAATCAATGTTGATTCGAGGATATTCTTTCCTTAGGATATTGAAGATCAGGGTTACGCACCCTATATGTCTTCTTTCTCCGAAGATTTGTCTATCAATTTCAACAATCAGGTCGCTGATGATAAATTGAGCGCGAGGGAATGGGACAAAATCTCCGAAAGAATTCCGAGCCGCTAAAAAATCGTGAACTTGGATTCGTTTCCGAGCCGAACGCACGTCCACTCCGGAAATCGCGGACCTCTTCCACCCTCTCGCACCTCACCTCACCTCACCTCACCTCACCCCGACGAGAAGCACTCTTTGCGAGCCCATTAAACCGACCGCGAGGAGGGACATAAAACTGCAGCGATCCGAACGGCGATTACCGGGTCTCAGTCTCGGCGGAATACTGATGCGGCCTGGCGAGGCTATCGCGGACCGGGACGGGCGGCCTTGTTCCTCAATTAGATTCCGAACTGATGGGTCGCCACCGGCCAATGGCACGGACCCGTGCGCCGTCCGGCCGGCCCGGCCCCCAGCGGACCCGGCACCAGGACGTTAAGTGCTTACGACGTCGTTCCGACGCCAGAGCTCCGCTCGTCGCGACGGCGGCGTCCCGACGTGACGAGACGCGGAGACACTTTCGTTGCGACGTCAAGGCGATGACGTTCACCATCGACTCCGAGGAAAAAATTGCGGGTGAACTGTTGGAGTTACTCGAATGGGTCAGTTGCACTAGTCACAGAATCATGTGTCGATGATTAATCAGTATGTCTAGTTTTTTTTTCATTTTGGGAAATCCTGATTTTTCCTGATTTTTGACTGCTAAATCCTGTTTTTATAATTTTTCCAAATCCTGACCAAATCCTGCAATTTTGCGGAGAAAAATTAATATCATATGAATAGCTCGATAAAAAAACTCGATTGAACGGCCGACTTTTCTCAAATCCTGCTTTTACGACCGATTTTTCCTCAAATCCTAATGAAATCGGGATTCCAATCCTGATAGAATCGGGAAAATCGGGAAAATCCTGATGCTAGACACCTTGTTACTTCTTGCGGATAAGCTGAAAATAATAAGAACCGTCGAAACAGCAACTCTCCTCGCTCGATATAAGGGGCCGTTCAAGTATTAAGTAACGCGCTTGGGGGGGGGGGGG